GTTTCTTTGTCTGTAAAATGGGAATAATGTAATCTACCCACAATAGGACAGACGTGAAAATGAGTGAGGTGAACACCTGGTATGTTACAGGTGCTTTGAAAATGTCAGTTTCATCCTTCTTTCTGCAGGTTGGCTTCACTGAAGGAGATGGCTCAAGGACTGGGACTCTCCCAGCAAGTTCTATGCAACTTTTGCAAGACTAGCTCCTTGCTGGCCTCCGCATGCCCCATGCTGGGCCCCAGCGTTCAGAGCTGGGACTTGAGCTCACAAAACTGGGGAGCTGAGGTGTTTGTTCTCTTGGGTCTCACTCTCTCTGTCCCTTGTGCCTCTGTGGCTGGACTTCTTCCTGCAACGGGCCATGCCCCTACCAAGGACACATGACCTTTCTCTGTTAGGTCTGATGGCAATTCTTTCCTATCTCATTACCCACTAGGGGCCTGGGAGCCCTGTCGCTGGATCTGAGAGTTCTTAAGCTGGCTTCAGCTGCAGAACCCTCCGTCCCCCATCAGATCGAGACTTTATTTCTCCCATCAGTCTGGGGGTTTCACAAGGGGAGGAGAGCCTTCCATCACTGACTTCCAGATCAGGGACTCTGCCAAGTAGGGACTGTCTTCTCAGCTAGTCATTTATTAGTCTCGTATTCCTTTTCTAAATTCCAGCTCTATGTCTGGACCTGTGTTAGGCACTTCAGATGCCACATAAGTAAGACAAGGGCCCTGCAGGGGTGGTCCTTTGGTGGAAAGCTGGTCTTAAGGGTTGGGCTTGGGAATGCACAGGGTCAGATTCCAGGGCATGGTTCTGGACTCAGCTGGTTTATACCTGTATGACCACTGCAGTTGTCTGCAGACCGCATCCATCTGGCTGTTCAACATGCATGCTGTACTGGCTGTTAAATAAAAATACTCTGGCCGGGCTCGGTGGCTCAAGCCTGTAATCCCAGCACTTTGGGAGGCCGAGGCGGGTGGATCACAAGGTCGAGAGATCGAGACCATCCTGGTCAACATGGTGAAACCCCGTCTCTACTAAAAATACAAAAAAAATTAGCTGGGCATGGTGGCACGTGCCTGTAATCCCAGCTACTCAGGAGGCTGAGGCAGGAGAACTGCCTGAACCCAGGAGGCGGAGGTTGCAGTGAGCCGAGATCGCGCCATTGCACTCCAGCCTGGGTAACAAGAGCGAAACTCCGTCTCAAAAAAAATAAAAAATAAAAAATAAAAAAATACTCTGAATGTCACTCCTTTTGAGGGACAGCACAGCCTTCTCTAGGCACTCTCCTGTATTCCCCAGCCAAGTAGTAGAGTCAGATGTACTCACATTTGCCTGTGTCCATGATTTAGCAGGAAGGAAAGGAATGGTCTGGGTTGATGGATGTCCACTTCTGTTCCCTTTCTCTTGGTCAACACAGGAGCCTTCTAATCTGAGGGAATGGAGAGGCAAAGAAGGGAGAGTGATAGAAATGGGAGGGCAGAGACTTAGGGTTCTGCTTCCCAGCAGTAGAAGTTCTGTCATTTGTCAGCCCCAATGAGAAAGCAGATACACCTAAGCCATCATCAACTGCCAACATCTCAACTTGCCGGTTGCTGGATGCCTAGCCCTGGCAGGAATGGGCAAAGCTAAGCAGGGGAGACCAGAGAGCACCAGTGGCTCACACTGCTGCCCGGCTGGAGAGGCTGTGCTGTTTCCCTTGGAGACCTGACTGGTCTGTGGTTCTCACAGGAACAGGGTTGTCTTTTTAGCCCCCAGTATCTGGTTTCATTCATCTCAGACTTGTTATTTCATTCATCTCTAATAAAAGATTGGGGGGTCAATTTCCAGTGGTTTCATTTATGAGATCTTGTGACCGGGTTGCAGGATGTGGGGGAGGCTCAGCTCCCCGATGGGATGTGCCCGAGGTGCCCGACGTGCTCAGGTCCTTGGGCTCTCGTCCACCTAAGAATGGGTAGGAGACCCTGGTGCAGTGATATTGTTCAAGTAAATGTCAGACCCCAAGAGCTTTTGCAGAAAAGTGACTTATTAGGCAGAGAGAGAAAGAGAAATAGGGAGAGAGAGAAAGCCAGCTCTCACACTGTCGTGGGAGGGGATCCCAGAGAGGAAAATCTGCACAGGTAAGGGGTAAGGGGTCTTTTACTCTGGGAGTTACTCCTGCCCCATTCAAGTTCTTGTCCCGAGAGAGGAGTTCCTTCGTTGGAATGACTGATCTTCAACTCTGACATCTGATTGGTTTTTTGGCCCACAGTCCTCCCATAGCTTTTCAAGGCCTTTCTAAACAAAAGAGGCCCACCTGGGCAGTCTGTCTTCCCACACGTGTGAAAGTTAGACAAAGACCTCTAAGCTCCTGAATGGGGATGTGAAAGAAGGCAGGTCAGGCAGTCACTGGGAAGTTCTTGCCTTTGAAACCACACCCCTTGTGGACCCAGGAAGAGAAGTTAACACATTACCTCAACCTGAAAGAACAACAGGGAGGGGAACAGAATCTTGGGGCTTGAAATTCTTTTTCTGGTCCTGGCAAGGGAGATGGCCTGATGTGGAGTAGTGGTTTGCGACTGCAGTGTTTTGCCCCTGGGAAACTTTTGGTAAAGCAGGAAATGGTTTTGACTGTTCCCAACTGGAGGGTACTAGTGGCATGTAGTGGACAAAGGTCAGAGATGCTACTAAACGTCCCACAGTACACAGGTCAGCCCTCCAGAGTAATGCATCATTATTATTATTATTATTATTATTTTTGAGACGGAGTTTCGCTCTTGTTACCCAGGCTAGAGTGCAATGGCGCGATCTCGGCTCACCGCAACCTCCACCTCCTGGGTTCAGGCAATTCTCCTGTCTCAGCCTCCTGAGTAGCTGGGATTACAGGCACCCGCCACCATGCCTAGCTAATGTTTTGTATTTTTAGTAGAGACGGGGTTTCACCATGTTGACCAGGATGGTCTCGATCTCTTGACCTCGTGATCCACCTGCCTCGGCCTCCCAAAGTGCTGGGATTACAGGCTTGAGCCACTGCACCCAGCCAGCAATGCATTATTATTCAGTCCAAAATGTTAATAGTGCCCAATGTGGAGAAACCCTGGAAAGAGCACTGGGCTAGGAGTCTGGAGACCTGAAATTCTGGTTCTCCCATGGTCCTTTGCCACTGTCTCTGATGAGTGCCCCTGAGACAAGGATTTGAGAGCAAGTAGCTTATCTGTGAAATGTTCCCAGGAAGCATAATGAGGGAATAGAAAAGTGAAACAGAAAGTCAAAAAGCAATAAAGAGCTGGGCGTGGCAGTGAGAACCTGCAGTCCAGCTACTCGGGTGGGAGAATTGTTTGAGCCCAGGAGTTCAAGGCTGCAGTGAGCCATGGTGGCGCCACTGCACTCCAGTCTGAGCAACAGAACAAGACTCTGTCTCTGACTCTTGTTGGGGACCTGTGAGAAATGGTATTGACTAGAAGATGCCTTCAGGTTGTCCCACTGAGAATGAAGAAACTGGGTGTTCTCCACCAGCTTTGGTTTCTTGCTGGTTGGTGGTGTCCTTTCTGAGGGCATCAGTTTTCTACCATCCCAAAGCTCCCGATCAGAGAAATGTGGAGAGCTGTCCAAGGTGTGTCCAAGAATTATCTTCTAGTGACCTGCAGGGTAGACAGGTAGGCAGAGGGGATATGATGCATATGAACGCCGTCCAACCCTGAGAGAATCATCACCCTCTTTGGGCCTTAGTCTTCCCACCTGTACAATAAGGAAATTGGACTCTGTGTTTCCTTAGGGTCCTTCATACCCTGATGTTATAGGAATCTTAGCTTCTTTTGATGTCCCACAGTTCAAAGGGTGAGGACGGGATGGAAGTTTGAGAAAAATCCTTTTTCTTTTTTCTTTTTCTTTTTTTTTTTTTTGATGGCTCTGTCTCCTACACTGGAGTACCGTGACACAATCAGAGCTCACTGTAACCTTGAACTCCTGGGCTCAAGCAGTCCTCCTGCCTCAGCCTTCCAAGTAGCTGGGACTATAGGTGTACGCCACCATGCCTGGCTTTTTTTAGTGTTTCATAGAGGTGAAGTCTCTCTCTGTATTACCCAGGCTAGTCTTGAACTCCTGGCCTCAACCAATCCTCCTGCCTTGGCCTCCCAAAGCACTGGGATTACAGGCATGAGCCACCATTCCTGGCCATCTTTTTATAAGGCAATCCTAAGTACCCTCAGGCTGCTGAGGATGTCTCTTCAACCCAGAAGGACTTGGCCAGGAGTTGGCCAAAAGGCCTCCCAGCACCCCAGACCATTAGAGCCTAACCTCCCAAATGTGAATGGCAGCACTGCAAGCTCAGGTCCCGCCCACGGCCTCTTCCCACACTTCTCTGCTGCAGCCATGCCAATTTTTCAGCTCCTCCAACATTGTCAGGCGGGCCGGGCACCCTCCCATCCCTAAGCTTTGCACATTTGGAACTACAAGAAGAGAAGATTATTTTGTTCCTCTCTGGATGTCCAGAACAAGAACTGCCTGGCACATATTAGGTGCTTCACAAATGTATGTTGAATGCCTCTTCCTTTCTTTCATGAACACTCTTCCTCCTCCCCTCAACTCCTGCTATGCGTTTCAGCCAAAGTTTAAACTTACTTTCTTCAGAGAAGATGACACTCTAAATAGTGCAGGTTCCTCAAATGTGTCCTTAAATTGTCCTCCACTGTTTCCTGCCCCTCACCCCAGCTGTGATAAATACACTAATTGACCATGTCTGTTTTTGTTTAAGCTTTCTCTTGCCCATAGACAGCTTGCTGGGACGGGGTCTGTCTTGTTCATTGCTTGGACACTCGATACGTATTTGTTAAATGGATGAAAAACCCACACCATCCTACCTTGATCCCAGTCACATAGCAATTGGAAGATAGGTGTCCACACCAAGCTGCCTCTATGACCCACGCTGGAATTGGGTTCTCTCAGGAAAATTGGGAGATTACACTCGACACCCTAATCCCAGCTTCCCAACCTGCATACACTATGGCCCACTTCTCATGCCTTCCCTCCAGGTTCCTGAGCCCCACCCCTGTCACAGGAAGATCATTTCTGTCCATTAAACTCAGTTGTTTAGCAAGAGAACCGGGACTGTAGGAGACACTTGGAGATGATTCCACCGGAAGGCAGATCTTCGCATGGCTGGGGAAGGTAGGCACAATTGTATTTCCACCCCCTCCACCAGGATGACCCTTACAAACCCACTGAGGGGGCACTGGCCTGACCTGGCAGCCTTGCACCTGGATCGGTATTTCTCAAAATTTGGTGCACTTAAGAATGAATCTCGCTGTAATCACAGCAATTTGGGATGCTGAAGCAGGAGGATCACTTGAGACCAGGAGTTCCAGACGAGCCTGGGCAACATAGACCCAGTCTTTACAGAAAAAAATTAAAAATTGTCTGGGCATGATGGATGGCTCACGCTTGTAGTCCTAGCTACTCAGGACGCTGAGGCAGAAAGGATTGCTTGAGCTGGGGAAGTTGAGGCAGTGAGCGTTATTGCTCCACTACACTCCAGCCCTAGGCACAGAGGGAGATCCTGTCTCAGAAAAATAAGAATCTCCCCACAAGCTGTCACTACTCAGAGTGTAGTTCTGAGACCAGCAGCACCCCCAGCACGTAGGAGCTTGTTAGAAATGCAAAGCCTTACTAACAAGACAGCCAGCAAACTCAGTTTAAGGTATTCAGAGGCAAACAGGAGCCTGGATACACGTGGCATGCACAGGCTATGCGCGATGGAGTGAGTGCAGGTTAAAGCAGAGCTGAATTTAGTGATAAACACACACACACGTAAAGGGATTCCAGCGCACCGAGTTGCCTCCACTTGGACATAGGCGCTGAACTGGGTCTTCCCGTTTTGAGCTGCAACGGTGCAGAGACGCGGGAGCCCAGAACGCTTCCCGGATCCCCCGGGACACCCCTGGGCGCCCTCCGCGCCACGACCGCTGCCTGCCTGTGGCCGGGGACACAGCCTCCCACCTCTCCAGAGAAACCTCTTCCCCAAATCTCCCTTCGACCCCCGGTTCCCCTGGAAGGGCGGGAGGAGGAGGGCCCCTTCTCGCAGCCTCGTCCCTCCCCTGAGGCCCGACCCGCCCGCGCAGGCAATCAGTGCCCGGGCGAGTCCTTGAAGTCTATATTTAGTGCCCGCCACCCCTCCCCCGCACAGTTGGGAGGCGGGCGGGGGTAGTGGGGGAGAGCCCCGCCCCCGCCGGGTGTGTGTGTCGTGTGTGTTTGGGGCCCGCGCGGGTTGTGCGCCCTCCGCCTTCGCACCTCCTGCCCCCGAGGCCCGACTGCTGCCCCCGCGCCCTTCGCCCCGCCAAGCGTCGCGGGCCAACATGGGCCAGGAAGAGGAGCTGCTGAGGATCGCCAAAAAGCTGGAGAAGATGGTGGCCAGGAAGAAAACGGTGAGGCTGCAGAGTTTGGGCCACGGCCCCCGGCAGGCGCGGGCGAGCCTGGGAGTCCGGGGTGGGGGCGTGCTGGCGGGGCACCCCGCCTGCGCAAATGGGACTCGGGGACCCGAGGGAGGCGCGACTGGTGCAGGACCCCAGGCCCTTTGGGGACCCTTGCTGGGCACCTCGAGGTGGGCGTGTGTGTGGCCCAGGGCGCCAGGGGATCCTGCGGGTCCTGGAGGCGCGGCTTGCGCACGTCCCTTTGGACGTGTAGGGTTCACCCTAGGCAGCTAGTGCAGGGCCCAGGAAAGCGGGCGAAGAGAGTGGGAAAGGACTTCGGGAGTCCCGGGGACTTGGCGTGTGCACACCCTGGGAGCGGCGGCGATGGCGGGGGCGGGGCTGGGGGTAAATCCTGGTGGCCCTAGAAGGGACAGAGAAACTTGGGCTGAGGAGGGTTGCTGAGCTGCATCCCTGCACCCCGGAGTGGGTCTGCAGGAGAGAAGCAAAGAGCCGTGGATCCTGCGACCCCACAGCTTGGGGCGTCAGGAGCGGTTCTTTTGGCAACTTTCCCTTTTCTTGGCCTTGGGTGCCGCCCGGACGGGCAGGCGGGGGCCGAACAGGTGCGGGGGCCCGCAGGGCGGGCAAAGGGGGCCGGGCTGGAGGCCTGTGCAGAGAGGGCGAGGGCGGAGGGAGGAGCGGCTCGGTGGGAGGTGGGGAGCAGGGCTGACAGCCGTACGGGAGGGTCCCGGCTAGAGCACAGACCCAACTGGAAGTTAATGTTTGATCTTCCCTGTGATCTTTGCCTCCTGCTGGCGGTGGACTGGTCGCCTGACCAGTGCAAATTTGGCCTTGGGTTCTGGAGGGCCAGGGCTCACCCTGGGAGGAAAGAAAGGGAACCTGGTAGCATACCCATCCCACCTCCCACCCTGTCCCGGGGTCCTCTTCCTCCTGCCATCCCTAGCCCTGTGCTGCAGCGACCTGCATTTCCCGGAAACCTAGGAGCCTGAGAACGGAAGAAACCCTGCGGGAAGTTTTAGAGCCAGCAAGAGTATCCAAGGCCCAGGGAAGGGTCGCTGGAACCATGGAGTGGCAGGGAGCCCTAGAGTGGACACTAGGCAGTCATGAGTGGGTGTCCATATAAAAGCCAGAGCCAGCTGGGCGTGGTGCTTCATGCTTGTAATCCCAGCACTTTGGGAGGCCGAGGCGAGTGAATCACAAGGTCAGGAGATCGAGACCATCTTGGCCAACATGGTGAAACCCCATCTCTACTAAAATACAAAAAACTAGCTGGGCATGGTGGCGCATGCCTGTAGTCCCAGCTACTCGGGAGGCTGAGGCAGGAGAATTGCTTGAACCCCAGAGGCAGAGGTTGCAGTGAGCCAAGATCATACCACTGCACTACAGCCTGGTGACAGAGTGAGACTCCATCTCAAAGATAATAATATAAATAAATAAATAAAGGCCAGAGCCTTAGTTTCTTTATCTGTAAGAAAGATGAGATTATCTGCCTCTGGAGAAGGGGTGTCACTGGATTCTTGTCTCTGCTGACAGCAAGTGAGGGTTGCAGAGATGAGACGGAGATGTAAAGCCCTTAGTAGGACTCAGACTGGTGCTTGGTAAGAGCTGGGAAACGACACCCGCTTCTACACAGCCAGGTCCAACATGGTAAGGTAGCGACAAACCTACAGAGTGCTGGGAGCTTCTCATCTGACACTCCCAGCCTCCACGTGCTCCCCGTTCCCGACTCCTCCGAAATCCTCAGTACAACTGAGCCTCAAGTCATGGGGGGCATTTTCTCAGCTGGAGTTGGCAGAGCCCAGTCAGGGATTCTGAGCCAAATTCCAGTTCAAGTAGACAGGTTATCCCAGCCCAGCCCCTCACTGACCCCCAAGCTCGGGCCAGGAAAGAAATTCTGGGCCTCTGGGTAAGAGGGGTAGGGTGGGAATGCTTAGAGGCCCTGGGAGAGGCAGCCTGCTGTGGCAGAGCTCTGGCTGAAGAGGAGGGGACCTGCCCTGGCCACCCCCTCACTCCTTCTATGGCCCTAGACGAGCCACTCAACTTTCCCTCTCTGGGCCCGAGTTTCCTCTTCTGTGAAATGGGAAGAGGAAATGGTGTCTCCTGGAGATGGATTCCTGGGAAGTGCCCGGAGCTGTCCCCAGAAAAGACGCAAGTCTGGCCGCAGGGTTCCTGCAGCACGGAGCCAGTTTACAGCCACGTCTGCGCCTGGGCTCTTGGCAGCATCTGGGTGGGCACAGAGCTCTGGGCATCTGGCCGAGAAAGGTGGGGCCTGCTGTGGGAGTGAGAGTGGACCCACCCAGCAGTGGTTAGGCAGAGGAGGACCTACTTCCTGTAATAAGACGGATCCTCCACGTTGCAGCTCAGGCCCAGGGTTTACTGCCAGTGGCTGAAGTCTCCGCCACTTAGGGCTTTGTGACATCCTCTGAGCATGCACTAACAGAAGCAACTTCAAACACACAATCAAGTGCCTATGGTCACAACTACACATACACATAGCTATACACATGCAGCCACAACACAACAGTTAAACAAGCAACTGAACCTAACTGCATATGAGACAGGGCTATCGACACCAACATGACAAGCTTAGTGACCCATATGACCCACACTGACCATTGTAGTTACAGAATGATACACAAAGACAGCCACACACATGTGCAATGCTACAGACTTAGCAAGCAGCCACACCATTCAGATGTTATAACACAGGCATCATCCCACAAAGACAAATAGACACAGCTGTGCCTGGAGCTGCATATTTACAGTTCCACACCTAACCAGAGATACTGCTGGCTACACAACCCATATGTGTATTCAGAGAGAGACACCCAGCAACATTTGCACAAGGCTTTGTGAACCCAGCTACCATCAAGGCTCATGGCTATTTTTCTCCAATGTGACCCAGTTATACAGCTGCGACACACGAGGCATACACCCAGTAGAGAACTGGAACTGGCTTCACACTGATGGTCGCATTTTCAGGAATTTTGCAACCTGGTGGTTAAATACAGCAATTCTTTTTTAAAAATTACATTATCTGCTTACAATTAAATAAGTTATATTAAAAACAAAGGTAATGAATCCTCCAAAATAATCACTTCCTAATTATGTGACTACATGTTACTATCATGTATGGTCAGAGGTAATTTACTTCTATTGTTTTCTGTATGGTGGAAATACTATATAATGGTATGGGACTGCACATCTCCTCCCAAAACTTCCTTCAGTTCAGTGACAGCATGTAGGTAGCTTGAAATTGGCCATGGGATGAGCGTTTACACCACAGAAACTGGCAAGCACTACAAGTCAGTTTTTTTTCCTTGAGAACTGGTTGTTTAATGTTGGCCAGCACACCACCGAACTTACCCATGTTGATATTCCATGATTGTGTATGTCTAGACAGAGCTATGCCCACGCTAACCCAATTTGTATAGTGGTTAGAGCCCCAAAGTCCCAAGTTTGAATCCCAGCTCGGCTCCTTATAAAGCATGTGAGCCTGAAAAAATTACTTAACCTCTTTGTTTCTTGAATCGCTCTTTTGTGAACATGGGGTAATAATTCTGTAAAAATGGGAGTAATGAGCCGTGCACGGTGGCTCACGCCTGTGATTCCAGCACTTTGGCAGGTTGAGGCGGGTGGATCACAAGGTCAGGAGTTCGAGACCAGCCTGACCAACATGGTGAAACCCCTTTTCTACTAAAAATACAAAAAGTAGCCGGGCGTGGTGGTGGGTGCCTGCAATCCCAGCTACTCAGGAGACTCAAGCAGGAGACTCACTTGAACCCGGGAGGCAGGGGTTGCAGTGAGCTGAGATCACGCCACTCCAGCCTGGGTGACAGAGCTAGACTCCATCTCAAAAAAAAAAAAAGAAAAAAAAAAGGGAATAATACACATGACCTACCTGATAGGGTCGTTGTGAGAGTTAAATGAGATAATACAGGTAAAATACTTAGAAGAGTGCCCAGTACATAGTAAGCCTTTAACTAATGTTACACTTGGAGTTGTTCACCACCAAGTTCACATGCGCACACATCTGCAAGTCATGCCTCTGATAACATACTGTGAACCCCAGTTCTCAGGGAGGCTATGGACTGACAGAGGGCAGCTCTTGGGACATGGTCCAGGTCCTGGCAGGGTGGAGATTGGCAGCTGGAACCATGAAGTGTGGGCCAAGGATAGGAACATACAGGACACAGTCAGCTGGTGCTCCCTAGGGAACTGATCTCAGGACAGCAGGCAGGGATGGCTTCTAGGAAGAGGTTGGGGGAAAGGAGAAGGCTGAAATGGGTCAGAGGGTGTCCAGGGCCTGGCAGCTCACCAATTATCAAATCTAAGCCTCCTTTTTCTCTCTCCCGCCTTCTTTCTGCTTTACTCCTTCACAAGTTCATCCACTCAGGGAGTGCTAGACTCTGCTGAGCCCTAAGATCTCAGAGATTAAAACAGTTCCCTTCACCCAGGAGAAGTTAAAGTATCTGTTCACACAAAGACTTGGGATGAATGTACCTAGAAGCTTTACTTGTAGCAGCCCCAAATGGGAACCTATCCATAAGTCCCATCAACCACTGAATGAATTTAAAACATTATGATAGATTGGGTGCAGTGGCTCACGCCTGTAATCCCAGCACTTTGGGAGGCTAAGGCAGGAGGATCACTTGAGGCCAGAAGTTTGAGACCAGTCTGGGCAACATGGGAAAACATGTCTACAAAATAATACAAAAAATTAGCCAGGTGCAGTGATGCACACCTGTGGTCCCAGCTATTCAGGAGGCTGAGGTGAGAGGATCACCTGAACCTGGAAAGTCGAAGCTGCAGTGAGCTGCAATTTTGCCACTGCGCTCCAGCCTGGACAACAGCGTGAGACCTTGTCTCAAAAAAAAAAAAAAAAATTCACAAAGCAATAAAAAGGAACTACCGATCCATGAGACAACATGGATGAGTCTCAAAAATAATTACGCTGAAATAAGCCAGATGAAAAAGTGTTTTTGCCCTACATACTCTTTATGTAAAATCCTTAAACACACAAGGTCAACTATAGTAACAGAAGGCAGAATTGTGGTTGTTTGTGGTTGGGGATAAGGAGGGATGGATTAGAAAGGGACAGAAGGAAGTTTTGGGGGCTGGTGGCTGTGCTCTTATCTTGATTGTGATGAGAGTTCCATGGGTGTACATGTATGTTGAAACTCATCAAATTGTACACTGTCAAATGTGCAGTTATTGTATGTCAATTACACTTCAATAAAGCTGCTTTTTTTTTTTTTTTCAAGTTGGAGGCTCATTCTGTCATCCAGGCTGGAGTGCAGTGGTGCATTCTTGGCTCACTGTAACCTCCGTCTCCTGGGCTCAAGCGGTTTTTCTGCCTCAGTCTCTTGAATAACTGGGATTACAGCCGCACACCACCGCACCTAGCTAATTTCTGTATTTTAGTAGAGCTGGGGCCTCACCATGTTGGCCAGGCTGGTCTTGAACTCCTGGCCTCAAGTGATCTACCCACCTCAGCTTCCCAAAGTGCTGGGATTACAGGCATGAGCCACCATGCTGACCAAGCTGTTTTGTTTTGTTTAAAAAGCCCCGGTCCTCACCCTGCAAAGCACACTGTGGGGAGGTGAGGGAAGGATGCTACAGGCACAATAAGCCAGGAAGGAATTCATTTTGGAGGAGAGATGGGGGAAGGGGAGGGCATTCCTGGGGGGAGGCACAGCAGAACCAAGGGCTGTCGGTCAGGAGCCTGGCTCAGAGGATTTGAACCCAGCAGGTGGCGGAGGATGAAGTTAGAGCACAGTCAAGGACAGGATGTCTCTCTCCCTCCTTCTGCCCCTTGCCTGTCCCTCCACCATGTGTCTGTCTATATCCTCTTGCTCCCTGCACCAAGACCGCACAATGAACAGAAGCCTGGGCAGGACCCGGGCCCCAGTCCTCACTTCTGGCCTCCCACAGGAAGGGGCCCTGGACCTTCTGAAGAAGCTGCACAGCTGCCAGATGTCCATCCAGCTACTACAGGTGGGGGGCAGGAAGCCTTGGGGCAGTGCCTGGCGGGAGAGCTCATGGGGGAGGGAAAGACCCTGGTGGGGGAAGGTGGGGCCTGGGAGGAATTCCTGAGGGGAGGCTTGGGGGAGAGGATCTTGAGGTGCAGACCTCCCAGGCAGGGACTGAGGGAGACACGGGGGCACCTCAAGGGCAGAGAGGGTACCTTCTATGTGTGGGGGATCTCTGGGCCTTGCAGCAAGACTGGTTTGCTTCTCTTGAGTACCCCAATTCCCAAGGCCTTGGGCCTGTGGGATCCAAGAGACCAATAATCCAGGGAGAGGGAAAAGTTCTCCATTTAAAAATCCCCGTTTGGTCCTTAAAGTCCCCAAATTTACCCAAAGCTCCTGGCCCTGAAAAATGAACAGAGACAGATGCAAGGTCTCATAGCCGGGGCTGCTATCTAAGTTGAAACTGGAGCTCAAAGACACTAGAGGGAATCGGGCATGGTGGCTCATGCCTGTAATTTCATCACTTTGGGAGGCTGAGGCAGGCAGGTCACCTGAGGTCAGGAGTTCAAGACCAGCCTGACCAACATGGTGAAACCCTGTTTTTAGTAAAAATACAAAAATTAGCCGGGCATACATGGTGACACACACCTGTAATCCCAGCTACTTGGGAGGCTGAGGCACAAGAATCACTTGAACCTAGGAAGTGGAAGTTGCAGTGAGCCAAGACTGCACTGCTGCACTCCAGCCAGGTGACACAGTGACACTCCATCTCAAAAAAAAAAAAAAAAAAAAGATACTAGAGGGTTTGGGAATGGGAGGGGTCCTGACGGTCAGCCAAGTGCCGCCCCCAACCCTAGCCACAGCTTTTCGCCAAAGCCACAGGTATCCTCCATGTCAGGCTTACTTGGCCTCATGCAGAGCAGGGCCTCAGTTACAGTATTGGGGTTCTGACCTCAGCCGGGAGTCAGGGCTAGGACGCCAGGGGTCCAGGTTGGAAGGGGAGGTGATGGTAGAGCTGGGGAAGGACCAGCCAATGAGGGCAGCCATTCCTGTGTATCCATCCCCAGACCAGGTCTTAACCCTCTCACTTTGCAGACAACCAGGATTGGAGTGGCTGTTAATGGGGTCCGCAAGCACTGCTCAGACAAGGAGGTGGTGTCCCTGGCCAAAGTCCTCATCAAAAACTGGAAGCGGCTGCTAGGTGAGAGAGGAGAAGCTTAACTTGAACCCTTTTTTTCTCCTAGCACTTGGGACAGGACTGGGCCTGGCTCAGCACCGGGACTCAGTGTATGTCTGTTGAGTGACTTAATCAGTGACAGATGGCTTCTGGATCCAGGATGTAGCTAGTGGGGGGGCGCCAGTGTTTGTTTACACATGGCAAGATTTGTAGACTTGTGAGTTTTGTTTTGTTTTGTTTTGTTTGTTTGTTTTTGAGACGGAGTCTTGCTCTTGTTGCCCAGGCCGGAGTACAATGGCGTGATCTTGGCTCCCTCCCTACAACCTCCAACTCCTGGGTTCAAGTGATTCTCCCGCCTCAGCCTCCTGAGTAGCTGGGATTACAGGCATCTGCCACCACACCCGGCTAAGTTTTGTATTTTTAGTAGAGACGGGCTTTTGCCACGTTGGCCAGGCTGGTCTTGAACTCCTGATCTCGGGTGATCTGCCCACCTTGGCCTCCCAAAGTGCTGGGATTACAGGCGTGAGCCACCGCACCCAGCCAACTTGTGAGTTTTTGTGTGCATGCACCTATTACGTGTTTGTGGTCTCATACATGGCTACATACACACATCATTTGTCTGAATATGTGCCGAGGCGTGTTTTCCAATGTATTTATGTCCCTATGTGAGAATGTGTATTTGTACACACGTTCCTGTTGTATGTGCATTTGTGTGTAAATGTGTGTGTGTGTGTGTTGGGAGTGTGTGTGCAGCTGTCCTCATCCCTGCCCTTTGCTCCCTCCCCACTAAAGTCATGCTGGGTTCTGCTGAGGCAAAGCTTAATTGAGGGACAATGCCACCCTTTTTTTTTCAGACTCCCCTGGACCCCTAAAAGGAGAAAAAGGAGAGGAAAGAGAAAAAGCAAAGAAGAAGGAAAAAAGGCTTGACTGTTCAGACTGGAAGCCAGAAGCAGGCCTTTCTCCGCCAAGGGAAAAACGAGAAGAGCCCCAAACCAGGTATTCTTTTCTGGGATGGAGAGCAGGAAGCTGACACTTGTCACATCCTCTGCCAGCAGCTCTGTGTATATTATCTCATTTAAGCCTCACATCCAGCAGCGGGTAGATATTGGTATTATCTCCTGCTGTGCCCCCTCTGGGAGTCCTTCTTTGGCTCAACCAGACATTAGACTCACAAGACCCAACTAGGCCATAAGTGGCCCTGGCTTTGCCTAGAAGGGTGCAGTGACAGGAAAGAGCAACAGCCTAGGTGCAGGGAAACAAGACCACAATGAGTGGAAGCCTCACATCCCAAATCTAACAGTCCCAAAGACAAAGTTTCCAAGATGCTAGCAAGGGCAATAGCCGCTTATAAGAATCACTCCACCTGGCGCACTGGCTCACACCTGTAATCCCAGCACTTTGGGAGGCTGAGATGGGAGGATCACTTGAGCCTAAGAGTTTGAGACAAGCCTGGGCACCATAGCAAAACCCCACCTCTGCAAAAAATACAAAAATTAGCCAGGCGTGGTGGCGCACACCTGTAGTCCCAGCTACGCTGGAGGCTGAGGTGGGAGAATCGCTTGTGCCTGGGAGGCAGAGGTTGCAGTGAGCTGAGATTGCACCACTGCACTCCAGTCTCAACAACAGAGCAAGATCCTGTCTCAAAAACAAACAAAACACCAAAACATATATTATAAATTAAATGGAACTCTATTTTCTGTATCATACAATAAAAATTTTAAATCTGAATTGTTGGGTTTTATTCACAATGATCCTGCACTGGTTTTGAAATAAAAAATAATAATAGTGCTTTTAAAAATGAAACAAGACTGATAAAAATCTGTTTTAGAAAATAATGGATGGCCGGGCGAGGTGGCTCATGCCTGTAATCCCAGCACTTTGGGAGGCTGAGGTGGGCAGATCACCTGAGGTCGGGAGTTCAAGACCAGCCTGGCCAACATGGTGAAACCCCGTGTCTACTGAAAATGTAAAAATTAGCCAGGCATGGTGGCATGTGCCTGTAGTCCCAGCCACTCGGGAGGCTGAGGTGGGAGAATCGCTTGAACCCGGGAGCAGAAGTTGCAGTGAGCTGAGATTGTGCCACTGCATTTGAGCCTGGGCAACAGAGCGAGACTCAGGAAAGAAAGAGAGAGAGAGAGAGAAGAAGGAAGGAAGAAAGGAAGGAAGGAAGGAAGGAAAAGAAAGAGAGAGAACAGTAAAGAGATTTCTTTGAAAGGCCTGTATGGGGACAACAGGTGTGGGAGAGGTAACAATGAAAAAGCAGAAAGCGAAGTTCTGAGCTGAACTTGGTCACTTACGACCTTCGGCTCCAAGACTCAGTATTATGGCCTGAAAACCAGACATCATTTTCTCAGTTCTTTCTTCTTAAAAATAAAATGTTGAGTAGCTGCTACACCAGAAAGATGGTGGAGCAAGAGCAAAGAAAAATCCCTTTGGTTCCAGAAAATCTCCTGAAAAGGAGGAAGGCTTATCAAGCCCTCGAAGCCACTCAGGCAAAGCAGGCACTTTTGGCAAAGAAGGAGCAGAGGAAAGGAAAAGGGCTCAGGTTTAAGCGAGTGGAGTCATTCCTACGTGATTCCTGGCAGCAGACACGTGGCAAGGTGCATGTCAGACGACTGGAAGTGAAGCCTCACGCCTTGGAATTGCCAGATAAACATTCTTTGGCCTTTGTTGTATGCATCGAAAGGATTGATGGTGTGAGTTTACTGGTGCAGAGAACCGCTGCCAAGACTTCGCCTAAAGAAAATTTTTAGTGGTGTCTTTGTAAAAGTCACTCTCCAGAACCTGAAAATGCTGCGTATAGTGGAAGCTTATGTGACCTGGGGATTTCCAAATCTGAAGTCAGTCCGGGAACTCATTTTGAAACGTGGACAAGCCAGGGTCAAGGACAAGACCATCCCTCTGACAGACAACACTGTGATTGAGGGGCACCTGGGGAAGTTTGGTGTCATTTGCTTGGAAGACCTCATTCATGAAATTGCCTTCCCGGGGAAGCATTTCCAGGAGATCTCATGGTTCTTTCTCCCTTTCCACCTCTCAGTGGCCCGTCATGCTACCAAAAATAGAGTGGGCTTCCTCAAGGAGATGGGCACACCTGGCTATTGGGGTGAACGCATCAATCAGCTCATCTGCCAGCTGAACTAGAACCAGGTGCCAAATTGCAATAAATTTTTATCAATGAAGTGGAAGCATGTGTTTTTGGGTTTGGAGAATTTGTATCAAGTATCTTCAGAGAAGATTATTTCCTGCTTTATCTTTAAAAACTGGAAAGGAAGGGTCAAAGAAAAGACAGTAGCTGGCCAGGCGCGGTGGCTCATGTCTGTAATCCCAATACTTTGAGACCCTGAGGAGGGCGGATTACCTAAGGTCGGGAGTTCGAGACCAGCCTGACCAACATGGTGAAACCCTGTCTCTACTGAAAATACAAAAATTAGCGGGGCATGGTGGCCCATGCCTATAATCCCAGCTACTCGGGAGGCTGAGGCAGGAGAATCGCTTGAACCCGGGAGGCAGGGGTTGCGGTGAGCTAAGATCACACCATTGCACTTTAGCCTAGGCAACAAGCAAAACTCTGTCTAAAAAAAAAAAAAAAAAAAAAAAAAAAAAAAAAAAAACAAGAAAGAAAAAAACTAGCTTATGTTCATGGCAAGCGCCTCTCATCACAATCCAGTTCCAAGGAAGAATTCCAGCGTGTTCTACATTGGCCACTGCCTCATCTGAAATCAGCGCATTCCACAGAGGAAGGAGTCCTGCTTTGCTGCATCTCCTATCCTAAGGTTTAATGCTGGTAACTGAGTAACTCTAGCATTTGTACCCGGCTCCCTAAGACTCCGGCAGCGGTGGACAAGCCCAGGGACGTAACTGAATCTGGTGATTCCTGGGGCCTTGTGAGAAAGACTTGAAATACACATAGGAGGAAAGGGACAAAAATAAATGTTTACTTGTCGCTCTGAAAAAATAAAATGTTTTATTTGTAATAGTCTTTAATTGTATTTGTTGTTTTAGTTTAGCTATTTTGTATTTTTTTATAGTACAGATAATTACTTGCTCATTGTAGAAAGTTTTAAAAATACAAATAATAAAAAAATCATTTATTATCTAGAAACAAGCACTCATATAATTGTGTGTATATATACATACACAATTTAGATACATATACATATATATACACATCCTGCTGGACTATTCCTGTGCATTACTACCTATAAAATACTTACTTGTTTTTTGTTTTGTTTTGTTTTTGTTTGAGTCTTTCTCTGTTGCCCAGGTTGGAGTGCAGTGGCATGATCTTAGCTCACTGCAACCTCTGCCTCCCAGGTTCAAGTGATTCTTCTGCCTCAGCCTGCCGAGTAGTTAGGACTACACGTGAGCAGCACCACACTCAGCTAATTCTTGCATTTTCAGTAAAGACAGGGTTTTGCCATATTGGCCAGGCTGGTCTCAAACTCCTGACCTCATGATCCACCTGCCTCGGCCTCCCAAAGTGTGATGATTACACACATGAGCCACCAGACCTGCCCTAAAATATGTATTTTAATAAAATGGAATTATATTCTGTATATTATATTGTAACCTTTTCATGTACATAAATGTATTCATTTCAGTAGCAAGGTGTGTTTAGTGTAAAAAGTTTAGAAAATAAAACACAAGAAGAAAATAACAGAAATAACTATTGTCAACATTTTGATGTATATCTTTATAGTCTTTTAAGAACATACAGGCCAGGCTGGGCGCAGTGGCTCACACCTTTAATCCCAGCACTTTGGAAGGCTGAGGCAGCTGAGGTCAGGAGTTCAAGACCAGCCTGGCCAACATGGTGACACCCCGTCTCTACTAAAAATACAAAAATTAGCTGGGCATGGTAGTGGGCATGTCACCTGGTGCTTGTAATCCCAGCTACTCTGGAGGCTGAGGTAGGAGAATCACTTGAACCTGGGAGGCTGAGGTTGTAGTGAGCCAAGATTGCCCCACTGCACTCCAGCTTGGACGATAGAGACAGACCCTGTCTTTTAAAACAATACATATGGGCCGGGCATGGTGGCTCATACCTGTAATCCCAGCACTTTGGGAGGTGGAGACAGGTGGATCACTTGAGCTAGGGAGTTACAGACCAGCCTGGGCAACACAGAGAAACTCCATCTCTACTAAAAAGTAAAAAAAAAATTAGCCAGGTGTGGTGGTATGTACCTGTGTTCCTAGCTACTTGGGAGGCTGAGGTAAGAGGATCACTTAAGCCTGGTAGGTGGAGGTCTCAGTGAGCTGAGACCCCACTACTGCATTCCAGCCTGGGTGAGGAGTGAGACTCCGTCTCAAGAAAAAAACATGCATATGTACATTTATATTTGCATTTTCTTAAGAAAATTTGAAGTGCACTGTACATTTTCCTGGGACACTAAATTGTTATGCCCATAGGCCGGGCGCGGTGGCTCAAGCCTGTAATCCCAGCACTTTGGGAGGCCGAGGCAGGTGGATCACGAGGTCGAGAGATCGAGACCATCCTGGTCAACATGGTGAAACCCCGTCTCTACTAAAAAAAAAATACAAAAATTAGCTGGGCATGGTGGCACGTGCCTGTAATCCCAGCTACTCAGGAGGCTGGGGCAGGAGAATTGCCTGAACCCAGGAGGCGGAGGTTGCGGTGAGCCCAGATTGCGCCATTGCACTCCAGCCTGGGTAACAAGAGCGAAACTCCGTCTCAAAAAAAAAAAAAAAAAAAAAATTGTTATGCCCACTCACTTGTCACAACCATGGAGTTCTGAAATGAAGCTGTCGCTGGGGCTTAGCAGAAAATGGAGCAGCATCTCCTCCTTCTGCTGGGAGAAGCCAGTTATCAGGGGTCCTATTTCAGCTCGGTTAATGAATTTCCTTTCTTTTTAGTTTTCTTAATGATGATTCATTATACAAACACTGTAACCACATTAGTGAAATTTAGAATAAGAGTGGGAAGTATTTGTGCATAGCAGACAAATTAAGCAGCTTTTATTTTTCTTCCTCTCCTCTCCCAGGCCTGGTATAACTACATAATTTTTCCATTCCTTTAGGCAGAGTGTGCAGTTTTTTGTTTGAGACAAAGTCTCACTCTGTTGCCCAGGCTGGAGTGCAGTGGCATGATCACATCTCACTGCAACCTGCAATTCCTGGGCTCAAGTGATCCTCTCACCTCAGCCTCCTGAGTACCTGGGACTATGGGCACAAATTGTTTTTAAAAATCTAAAACAGTATTTGAATTTTTGTCCTTAGGAACTATAAAGATTGTACATGATTTGGAAATGAACTGTAGCAAACAAGGGCTAAAGAATAATCACCCATTCTATGTCTTCTTTGTCTGGTCACTCAGAAATATCCCACTATCAGCTGTGATTGTTGTGGCTTGTTGCCTCCCATTATTTTTATCCATTTATTCACCATAGTCTGCTTTTTCTTTCACATAAATTTGAGACCCCTGGCTGTGTGCAGTGGCTCATGTCTGTAATCCCAGCACTTTGGGAGGCCAAGGCAGACAGATCACTTGAGGTTAGGAGTTTGAGACCAGCCTGGCCAACATGGCAAAACTCTGTCTCTACTAAAATTACAAAAATTAGCTGAGAATGGTGGCACATGGCTGTAATCCCAACCACTTGTAAGGCTGAGGCATGGAACTCTCTTGAACTCAGGAGATGGAGGTTGCAGTGAGCTGAGATGGCACCATTGCACTCCAGCCTGAGCAACAGATGGAGACTGTCTCAAAATTAATAAATAAAAGTAAAACTAAATTCCAGACCTCTTTTCCACTGTGCCACGTCTCCAAGGCCTGGCTAGAATGCTGATATTCTGTGCCACGTCATCTTGACAGACATCACCCATTGGGTAGACTTCACTGTTTCCTTATCACCACAGATAGAGAAAATATTGTGCTAGATTATTTCCTTCTATCTATCTCATGACAGGGTACTAACCCACTTGCCCAAGAAACTGCACACGATTCAAGGATCTTTCAAGAACCCAACTGCTAGCTGTTTTGGACTCATGCCTTACGAACTGATGAAAGACCTGTAATACAGCCGAGGCGGGTGGATCACGAGGTCGAGAGATCGAGACCATCCTGGTCAACATGGTGAAACCCCGTCTCTACTAAAAATACAAAAAATTAGCTGGGCGTGGTGGCGCGTGCCTGTAATCCCAGCTACTCAGGAGGCTGAGGCAGGAGAATTGCTTGAACCCAGGAGGCAGAGGTTGCGGTGAGCCGAGATCGCACCATTGCACTCCAGCCTGGGTAACAAGAGCGAAACTCCGTCTCCAAAAAAAAGAGAAATACCTGTAATACAGGTCTTCAAAACATGGCTTCTATTTTCTTCCTTCCTTCCTTCCTTCCTTCTTTCCTGTTTTTTTCTTTCTTCTTTCATTGTTTCTTTTTTTGGGGGGATGGACTCTCCCTCTGTTACCCAGGCTGAAGTGCAGTTGACACAGTCTCAGCTCACTGCAACCACCATCTCCTGGGTTCAAGTGATTCTTTTGCCTCAGCCTTCAAGTAGCTGGGATTATAGGTGTGATTCACCATGCCCGGCCAATTTTTGTATTTTTAGTAGAAATGGGGTTTCGCCGTGTTGGCCAGGCTAGTTTTGAACTCCTGACCTCAGGTGACCCACCCACCTCTGTCTCCCAAAGTGCAGGGATTACAGGTGTGAGCCACCACTCCTTGCTATCTTGCTAGTGTATTCCAAGCATTTTTTCATGTTTCTGAATAGTTTTCAGAACAGTCATTTGCAATAACTGCAGAATATTTCTGATTTGTTCGAAAAAGAAAAGCAATGAGGAAGAGTCAGAAAGTGGTGGTTCTCTGGGGCGGAGGCTCGTGTCTTCTCTCCTCTCTCCCACTGTAGGAATTCCAGCTCTTGGTTCCTGTTGCATTGTCTATCCCCAAGGGTCACTGGGGAGAAACCCCACTGGACTCCCAGGGCCCGTTGTGGGAGTGCAGGGGCGTGTGAATGAGGACCTCTCTTTCTCTCTCCCATGTGTCTGGTCGAAGGCTACTCCTGGGGTCATTAGTTAATGACCAGCACTTCCAGCCAGCCTAGCTGAGAACTCCCTCAGGCAGAAGCTCTGGGGAGCTTGCAGGAGGCAGCTCTTGGGTCCAGAGGCAATGAGAGAAGGAGAACCCAAGGAAGGGGAAGTGGGCTTAGCACACGCAGTATCCACCACAGTGATCAAAACCTGCCAAATGCTGCTCTTGTGGAATTTGCATGGGGTGTCAGACAATAAATATAATTAAATATAAATAAGTAAATTGGCCAGACACAGTGGTTCTCACCTGTAATCCCAACACTTTGGGAGGCCGAGGCAGGCAGATCATCTGAGGTTAGGAGTTTGAGACCAGCCTGGCCAACAGGGTGAAACCCCATCTCTAATAAAAATATAAAAATTATGCCAGGCATGGTGGCTCATGCCTGTAATCCCAGCACTTTGGGAGGCCAAGGAAAGCAGATCACGAGGTCAAGAGGTTAAGACCATCCTGGCCAACATGGTGAAATCCCGTCTCTAATAAAAATACGAAAATTGGCTGGGCATGGTGGTAGGAACATGTAGTCCCAGCTACTCAAGAGGCTGAGATAGGAGAATTGCTTGAACATGGGAGGTGGAGGTTGCAGTGAGCCAGATCGTGCCCCTGCACTGCAGCCTGGTGACAGAGCAAGACTCCATCCCCCCCCCAAAAAAAAAATTAGCTAGGCATGGTGGCACACACTAGTAGTCCCAACTACTCAGGAGGCTGAGGCAGAAGAATCACTTGAACCTGGGAGGTGGAGGTTGCAGTGAGCTGCCTATATAGCACCACTGCACTCCAGCCTAGAGTGAATTATACAGTATACTAGAAGGTGACACGTGCTATGAAATTAAAAGGAGGGCAGGGTAAGTGACATGGGGAGTGGCGTTTACAATTTACAAACAGATAAATTTTCTAAAACCAATAAAAGGAAGAACTACATTATATATCATTAAAAGAATGTCGCTGCATGCATTCTGGAAAAATTGAAAAAAAATTCACCTTTAATCCCATCACCCTAGCCGTAACAGTGGTTAGCATTTGAGTGCGTTTTCTTCCGGTCTGTTTTTCCTCCTAGGCATTGGTTTTCTTGCGTGACTTCAGGCACAGTCCGCATCTAATTTTGTCTCCTGCCTTTTCGATTGCGATTTTAACCCAGCTCTTCTATCCCCAAGGCCCATGTAGTTCTTCTCTCCTCCTCCTAAAGTACCTGCCAGGGAGGCTGAAGCTGATCTCTCGGTTTCTCCGGTTCCAGATGAGTACAGACAACTCCAGGAATCCAGTCTCTGTGGACTCCAGTTAGCTAAGGCCTGCCTGACAGTCAGGAGGACAGGGGCCTGCTGAGAGTTAGTTATTAATAGTGAGCAACAACACATGGAACATACATGGCCTGTGTTAGGCCCTTGGCAGATATCAGTTTCCTTCTCTTGTATTGCCTCACTTTGATGGAGGGCAGGTGAAGGTCATGATCAGCCAGCACCACCTGGAGCTCCCCCTCCCAGGTAGCTGTGGTCCGCGTGGGCTTCCTTAGCCTCAATCCAGCAGGCCTTTTCCCAGGATGCTTTCTCCCACCTTCCCGTCAGTACTGATGCCAGCCCACAAAGCAGTCTCATCGCCGCTTTCTCTTCTTTCAGGAGAGACTCTGCGGACTCCAAGTCTTCTGCCACCTCCTCTCCAAGAAGGCCATCGGTGGAAAGGTAAAGCGGGCCACACCCTGCTCCATCCCAACACCCTATTCAGCCTGTGTTCCCCTCTCCGTTTTTATGGAGGAAGCCTGAGGCAGGGGAAAGGAGGGAAGGAAGAAACCTCCTCCGTTATGTTGCCCCCATATTTTAAGACCCACACAGTGAGACCGAGTGGGCCCCCGAATCAGAGGCGTGGCTCCTTCCCTGAGGCGGCTGACTGGGCCCCTGAATCAGAGGCGTGGCTCCTTTTCTGGGGCGGCTGACTGGTTGCTGTTGCCCCGTCGCCATGGCGGGACCAGTCCCAAGGTCCGATTGAACCCGGTGAGGACAGAAGTCTTGGAAGCCAACACCTAGGCTGGGCACAGTGGCTCATGCCTGTAATCCTAGCTCTTTGGGAGGCCAAAGTGAGCGGATCACTTGAGGTCAGGACTTCAAGGCCAGCCCGGCCAACATGGCGAAACCCTGTCTCTACTAAAAATACAAAAATTAGCTGGGTATGGTGGCGGGCACCTGTAATCCCAGCTACTCAGGAGGCTGAGGCAGGAGAATCACTTGAGCCTGGGAGCCAGGGGTTGCATGAGCCAAGATCATGCCACTGTACTCAGCTAAAAAAAGAAAGAAATGAAAAAGAAAGCCTGTACCTGGAGTGGGCTCTCTGGATTTGGGCCGAACTGGCTAGGACGTCTACCCAAAAGTAGCATAAATCATCAAGTCATCAAATCATTTAGTCAACAAATATTTATTGAGGGGCTACTATGTGCCAAGAACTGTTCTAGGTGCCAGGGATACAGAAATGCACAAAAGAGACAAAAATCTATCCAGTCATGGGGGCCTTTATTCTAAGTAGGGGGAGACAGGTAAAGCTTAGAAGGTAACAAGTACTACGGAAAGCAAAAGAGGAGAGGGAAGAAGACTGGGGAAGGATATTCATGGAGTTGTCAGAAAAGGCCTCACTGAGGAAGTGACCTATAGGCAAAAGCTTCAAAGAGGGATTTAGCCAAGCAGATTTTGGGGTCATTCCAAACCAAGTGCCCTGAGGTGGGGGTGTGCCTGGCAAAGTCAAGGAACAGTGAGGTGGCCGAGGACTGGAGCAGTTTAAGCCATGCGGAGGGTTGGGGACTGAATAAAACTGGAGCTACTGGAAGGTACTGAGGGTGGGAATGATGTCACCGCATGTGTCAGGATGGCTCTGGCTGCTGTGCCAGGAATGACGGAGCAGTGACACCAGCCAGGAGGCTGTTTCGGTAATTCAGCCAAGCTATTATGGTGGCTCGGATCAGGGAGGTAATGGTGGAGATGGGGAGAAGGGGTGGTTTCAGGATATATCTTAAGGGAAAGCTGACAGGACTTCCTGACAGATTGGATGTGGGGAATGAGAGAAACAGAGGAGTCAGGGACGAGTCCAAGAGTTTTCACTTCAGCATCTGCAAGGATGGAGTTGCCATGAATTGGCATGGGGAAGACTGTGCTTATGCAAATCAGGCTTGGGGTGGAAAATCCAGAGTTCAGGTCTCGATGTGTTGGATTCGAGGCGTGTGTTAGTCATTCAGTTGGAGAAGTTGAATATGCAGTTGGATTAGTTGAGGCTACAATTCAGGAAGAAAGTCTGGGCTGGAAATATAAAATGCAGAGTCAAGGCCCAGGGTAGTGGCTCAGGCCTGTAATCCCAGCACTTTAGGAGGCTGAGGCAGGCAGATCACTTGAAGCGGGGAATTTGAGACCAGCCTGCCCAACATGGTGAAACCCTGTCTCTAGTAAACATACAGCAATTAGTGAGTGTGGTGGCAGGCATCTGTAATCCCAGCTACTAAGGAGGCTGAGGCAAGATAATTGCTTGAACCCAGGAGGTGGAGGTTGTAGTGAGCTGAGATCATGCCACTGCACTCCAGCGTGAGGGACAGAACCAGACTCTATCTCAAAATAAAACAAAACAAAAATTGCATAGTCATTAATGTGTAACTGGCATCAGAAGAACCTGGATGAGAGCACCGAGGAGAGATTGTGGATAAAGGAGTGGGTGTGAAGTGTGGTCCAAGGAGTGGTCAGAGATCAGAGCAGGAGAAACAGGGCCAAAGAGAGCAGGCCAGGCCAGGAAGTGGCCAAGCAGAAGATCAAGGAGAATGATCAGGGTCCATGGGCCATATTGGCTTTTGAGGCACCCTGGTGGGATGATAAGGGTGTTGGTTTGTGGGAGAGTAGGTGTGGGAGCTGCACAATTATTTTAAGCCTAATGTATCAGTAAGACTGCCATTGGAAATAAAAGTAGAGACACAAAAATTAGGTTGTTTAAGGTTTTATGAAGATTGAACAGGCCTGGGCTGTATTGCACAGCTCCGATGTGGCAGCCAGCTCCAGCTGATGAGTGGAAGCTCTCTGCAGTGCTGATTGGAGAGGGAGTCTGAGGCTGTAGAAAAAGTTCTGCAGTCAGTTAGCAATGTCTGATGTGGGTGAGGCCTGGGAATGGTGGCCCCAGTGTCATTCTGGTTCTAGACCAATGTATCTTTGCAGGGGTCATTTAGAAATGTGTGGAGGCATTTTTGGTTGTCACTATGCTGTGACTTGGACCAAAGTAGGGATAAGATGAGGAGAGGGAATATGAAAAATGAAATATGAAAATGAATATGAATATGAAAGATGAAATAGAGAAGTAAATCGTGCAGGAAACATGGACTCTAAGGCCAGGCAAAGATTGAAACTCATGATCTCTGCCTTCACAGGGCTAACCATGAGTGAAGAAGCAGGCACCAAAATGCATATTTTTGGTCGCGGGGAGGTATAGAACACCGTGGGAACATAGGAAGCCTCTCACAATATGACTAAAAGTCAGAGGAGGCTTTGTGGAAGAGAAGGTATTTGAGCTCAGAATGGAAAGTCGAATAGGAGGAGTTGGGGACACAAGTCAGGAGAGTCATTTCAAGCAGAAAGAAATGGCACACGCAAAGCTGTGGAAGTGGGAGTAAGCACGATGCTCCGGGAACTGCAGCTGGAGTACCAGGAAGCCGACCAGGAGGGATACCATGGTGGCAGGGAAGAAAGTTGCCTGTTCTCAGTTGTTCTTACCTGGGGGTCAGAAAGATTTGCCCTTTGCGAGCATGCTGGTTGATGCAGTAACTGAAATGCCCTCGAGGTGGCGCACGGAAGCAGCGAGCCCGGCCTCCAGATGCCGCTGCTCAGACCTGGGGCAGGAGGATTTTCTAAGGGCTGGTGCGGTGCGGGCACATCCGGGGAGCAGAAGGAAGCTGTGGATAAATCCAACCCCCAGTCCCACCCCGGCCGATGATGCCTCTGTGCAGTTTGGCTCAGTTCCCAGGCGTGTGCATTGAAAGCAAAATAAGTGTGGTTGACTGAATTGCTGCCCAGACACGAATTCCAGCCAGGCAGCCAGCTCCCAACTGGGGAGGCGGGACTGGGGCTGGGTGTGCCCTGCCAGGAAGGTGGGAAGAAATATTCCACACAGCCTAGTGTTGCTCAGGTAGGAGGACTCTGGAAACCTCTCTTTTAGAGACAAGGTTGATGTATTGAAAAGAATTTGGAAGGCAGGTTCGTGATCTGACTCTACCCTTTGCTAGTTGGATGGATAACTTGAGACAATAACGTGGATGGATAATTCAGTTCAGCTCTCTGAGCCTCAGTCTATTGATCTGTAAAATGAAGATAATTATGAACCTCTGTCAAGGTCATCGTGAGGGTTAAATGAGGTAATGAAATACCAAGCACTGTTCCCAAACCATGTAAGAGTTCAATAAATACATAACACTTTCTAATAATACTCACATGAAACCTGGTTATCTATGTAAACTGCCTAATACTTTGCCACTAAGTTGCTTTCATTTGCTCCATAAGATGGGTACTATTGTTATTCCCATTTTACATGTGAAAAATCGGAGTCACCTAGAAGTTAAGGAACTCACCCAAAGCCACATAGCTACAAAGTGTTGGTATCAGGCTGTGGGAACCTGGGAGTTTGACTCCAGAGCCTGGGTTCTTTTTTCTGGAGATGGAGTCTTGCTTTGTCTCCAGGTTGAACTACAGTGGCAGAATCTCAGCTCACTGCAACCTCTGCCTCCTGGGTTCAAGCAATTCTCCTGCCTCAGCCTCCTGAGTAGCTGGGATTACAGGTGTGCACCACCACACCCAGCTAATTTTTGTACTTTTAGTAGAGATGGGGTTTCACCATGTTGGCCAGGATGGTCTTGATCTCTTGACCTCATGATCCGCTTGCCTCTGCCTCCCAAAGTGCTTGGATTATAGGCGTGAGCATGGCCGCCCGGGTTCTTAATAAGTAAACCACCTCAGGCCAGGCTCAGTGGCTCATGCCTGTAATCCCAGCACTTCGGGAGGCCGAGGCAGGCGGATCACAAGGTCAGAAGTTCAAGACCAGCCTGACCAACATGGTGAAAGCCCATCTCTACTAAAAATACAAAAATTAGCCAGGTGTGGTGATGCATGCCTATAATCCCAGCTATTCAGAAGGCTGAGGCAGGAGAATCGCTTCAACCTGGGAGGTGGAGGTTGCAGTGAGCCGAGATCTCACCATTGCACTCCAGCCTGTACAACAGAGCAAAACTCTGTCTCAAAAAAAAAAAAAAAAAAAAAAAGTGAACCACCTCAGTGGAGTCATTCCAAAAATGACCACCATTATTATTGTCGTTCGTTGGGCCTCTTTCAAAGCAGCATGTTACAGGCTCCCCTGGTATTCCTGTGATGAGTCATAGCTGTTGAGGATATGCAATGGTGCACACAGGTCAGTGAGGCACCATTCCAGCTGCGGGAGATGACGTTGCCCAGGTCATGGGATTTGCCAGAGGCTGGCTCCGAGAGAGATCCCTCTCTTAGGCCGAGAGAGTGGGGCCACTGTCCTTCCAAAGAGGACCTTCCCCTTTCCACATTTCAGCCTTAGGGGACCCTCTGGATGTGCCTTTCATCTCTCTGTTGTCAATTCCTCAATCCGTCATGTATTCATTTATTTATTTATTCATTCATCCATTTAGCAATGATGTATCAAGTGCCCA